TCACAGATTTTGCAAACTCCCCAATTTTCACTTACTTGAAAGACGAGAGACAAGGCATCTTAGACATGAAGGGAAGAATCAAATCGTACCAAGTTTTCAAGTTGTACACGTGAGCTGCGTTAGTGTGGCATTCAAGTGAGTGGTGACCAATATTCACTAGTTTCAAGTGTACCTATTAGAAACACGGACAGATCGGGGTTTGTTTTTACGATGTATTTATTTTACACATGGGAATGTTTTTAACCACAAGGTTTCATTATTAATACGTGTCGAAGTACTTGGCGTATGTATTTCCATTCGTGGTAGGCGCAGCTTCACAAATATTACACAAATAATGCTTTCTATCATTTCAACCGGAAGTTGAAACAAGAGAGGAATGTGGAGTTACGTGGCCGAAAATATTGTATTGATTGCACACTGACATAATGTCAGAATGCTAATCGTACTGTCCCTCAGGAATGACTTGCGGAAATTTCAAGTAATATTTGACCAGAAAACATTGAAAGCTTTCGTGTGCAAAGCAAGTGAAATGATGTCCTGATTCAATCTCGAATGACCTCGCACTACAGATTCGGTGTAACTGGTTTATTAGCACAGATTGCTAAGAGATTAACAATGACCCGGATGGTTCTGAAGTGTCTGTTCTTGTGGTTATTTTGTCTTTAATGTCTGTAAAATTTAGCGCTCCTCCATGGGAAGTTATAGCTTATTCTGCACTAGATACAGGTAACATGTATAGATTCAGGAAAAAAAAAATAACCTTTTCACCCTCAAGGAACGTAGTTTTAAATTACACAAAATGAGTTTGCCACCCACGTGTATGGAGAAATGTAAATGAACGGTCCACTTCCATAACCCTAAAACAGTAAACTCACATAAATGGGTAAGTGTTCCTACATATCTTACGAGCACTTTTCAATTGTCTCTGAACAAATTTAGTTGCCATCTAGAGAGAGATGTAACATGCTCTGCACATGTCCAAGAACTGGAGACGCCCCAGCTCTGTGGGACCCACGCACGGCTTCATTCACACTGCAGGCTGTCAACTCATTCCTCGTCCTGCGCGCTGCAGCTACACAAGTGTCAGCAAATTCAGGACTTCGCTTGGTCCCTATTGGGTCCCTCACAAACAGATTGAACATGTATACAAGTTAAACTTTAACGCAGTAATAAAGCTAGTCATTCAAACATAAATGAAGAACAGCACCCCAAGTCTTAAATTCGTATGTAGATTCAACAGCTAGCAGCATTTAAACATAGAGATAGTCCCATCTCACTTCTTCCCTTTCCTAAAGTGCCATTAGTAACTGGGCGGCCCCAGCATTTCAAGAACTACACTGTAAGTGTCTAATAGATTTAAGGGATCCTGGGGAAATAGGATTAAGCGTTTGAAATTTGCGAAAGGTTGCCGTAAGCCACAGAGACTACTAATGTATCAGTAAAATTAAAACTGTCCCTTACACGAGAACCATCAGGCCGATGGAAAGCTCACTCCACAGAAGCCTCGGCCCACTCCTCACTAATCGAATCGTCTCAATCAGAAACAGTTTCTGTAGGTAATTTTGACCTAAGCACCGTGAAATGCGGTTGTGCCAAGTGGAAGCAATGTTTGGTGATTCCCCAGGATAAAAAAAGGCAGCGAGTTTAGACTTCTACAACAGTAAAATCGGACAGAATCAGAATGAGATCATATTTACAAGTACCTTAGGTGGCTATGTTTATAAACTCTAAATTTGTGTCACCATTACTACCGTACCTTGGCACTGAGTGCAGTGATGTTAGCTCGTTGGAAACCATCCCACAAGTTAATTCCAGTGCACGGCTGCTCAGTAATTCAAATGGAAAAAAAAAAATAGCTGAACTGCCACTTACAAACAGGTGACCAATAGGATTCCTATGGTTATTCACATTATTCTTGAATTGCTACTTCTGCGTTTCAGCTCTCATCTGGCCCTCAGTAGTACCTCAAACATCAAATGCAATTAGTGAAAAAACGAAAAGGAGCAGCATGTAGCTTTGTTCTCACAAATACTACCAGCTTCACTACAATTTGAATTTAAAAAAAAATTTTTTTTGTTGTTGCTCTTGGAAGAGTAACCACTTAAAAAAAATTACATAAAAGAAGTGCAATGTATTCTGTATGGTATCCGGGAATGGGTAAAGCAAGGGAAGTCTAAATTATTGGCTGTCCCTCAAATCTAAATTCATCTCTGGTCCTCAGAAATGGGCAAGCGGGAGAGGAGAAGAGGGCAGAGGGGTAGGGGAGAGGAGGGCAGAGGGGGAAGGGAGAGGAGGGCAGAGGGGTAGGGGAGAGGAGGGCAGAGGGGCAGGGGAGAGGAGGGCAGAGGGGCAGGGGAGAGGAGGGCAGAGGGTAGGGGAGAGGAGGGCAGAGGGGCAGGGGAGAGGAGGGCAGAGGGGTAGGGGAGAGGAGGGCAGAGGGGCAGGGGAGAGGAGGGCAGAGGGGTAGGGGAGAGGAGGGCAGAGGGGTAGGGGAGAGGAGGGCACAGGGGCAGGGGAGAGGAGGGCAGAGGGGTAGGGGAGAGGAGGGCAGAGGGGTAGGGGAGAGGAGGGCAGAGGGGCAGGGGAGAGGAGGGCAGAGGGGCAGGGGAGAGGAGGGCAGAGGGGCAGGGGAGAGGAGGGCAGAGGGGTAGGGGAGAAGCAGGGCAGGTGTGGCTCGGCGGTGAGGAATCCTTGCAGACCCGCTTCTCCCAGGATGCCAGCCGCACGAGGCGGTCCAGCCCCTCACGAAGGCACCATCTAGCCTCACTCAGTCTTTCCGGGCTGTTTCTTATCCACACCGAGCATTTCACTCCTGCAGACACACCAACCTTAGAAGGTCTCCGGGAAATTCCTTTTACCCAAATACATTGGATTTAGGTCTCAATTTGAACGAGGAGGAGTGACCCTTGAGAGGTCGGTCCTCCTCCTCCTCTCCTTCCTCCAGTGGCTGCTCCGGGTCCCTGAAAGAGGGCGTAGTGTGAATAATCTGGGTTCGGAAGCGGATTTTGTTGAGTCTGGGTGGTTTTAACCGTCCACTGGAGCTCCCCGAGGCTTTGCGCCCGGGGTCCTTTGCTTTCCCTCCAGCCCAGCCCTCTGGCAGGTGGTGGTGGTGGTGGTGGTGGTGGTGGTGATGGTGGTCGCCTCCATCCTCCAGGACGTGCGAGAGCCTGTAGGTGATGAGGTGGGAGGGTAGCATCCTGGACAGCCTCCAGCGCCCCCCGACACCGCTGCCAGCGCTCTCCCCTTCCAGGTCGTCCAGGGCCCCCACCAGGCTCTTGATCTCCTCCGCGATGCTCTGGCTCAAGTACTGGGAGGCCTTCCTGCCGCTGTAATCCCTGATGTCCACGTCGGCGTCATAAGCGCCCACCAGCAGCTTCACCACCTCCACGTGCCCGTGCATGGCCGCCAAGTGCAGAGCGGTGTAGCCCCCGCTGGTCCTGGCGTTGATGTTCACCGGCAGCTGGTGCTTGTTGGCAAAGTTGACCAGCATGGCTAGCAGCTCCTGCCGGCCGTGCTTGGCGGCCCAGTGCAGGCAAGTGAAACCAGTGATGAAGTCCCGCTTGGCCAGGAGGCCAGGTTCGCAGGCCAGCAGCCCTTCCAAGCTGTCCCACTTGCCTTCGGAGGCCGAGAGCATCCAGGCGTGCTCCAGGGGGTCCAGGGTCACGGAGCCCCCGCCGCCGCCGCCACTGCTGCTTTCTTCCTCGGCTGAGGACGACGCCAGGGAAGCGCTGTCTGAGTCGCCGGTGCTTCTGCTGCGCCCTGGCCCGGAGGTGCTCCTTCTCAGCTGCGGGGAGCTGCCCACCACGAGGTCTCGGACGTTATGGCGGACAGGCCTGGGGGTGTGGGATCCTCCAGGGGGGCTGCGCTCGTTCCCCTCCTCCTCGCAGTGGCTGATCGGGCGCTCCAGGTTCTCACCGAGAGCGGGGACCGACGCCCCGGCCAGCGGGTGGCCATCGCTCTGCGAAGTCTTTCTCGGGGTCCCGCCGTGGCCACCCGTGACCAAGGACGCGCCATGGTCAGGTTCGCGGCCCTGTCCGGGAGGCGCCTGGCTCGCTTCAATCTCCTGGACGCCGGGAACGTCTTCGGGGGATGCCGCCCCGCAGAAGTCGCCGTTCTCCCCGATCTCCCGCGGCTCGGCTGGGCTGTGGATGGCCTCGTCGGGCGCTGGCGCGGTGGTCACTTGGACGCGGGGCGGGTCCCCGGCGGGTGAGGGGGACAGCTGGCCCTCGCCGAGGAGCGCGTTCCCAGGGGGAGCCGGGGTCCCCTCCACTTGGGGAGGCGGCCCGGGGCACAGCTTCCTCTTGAGGTGCACGTACTTGGTGCCGTCGGCAGGATCGGTGCGCACCACGGCCACGGCGTTGACCACCTCCTTGAAGCGGGCGCGGGCTCGGGCGCGCTGCTCCGCCTCGCCGCCCAGGGCGCCCCTGAAGTGCTGCACCAGCTCAGCCTGCCGGGCCCGGCCCCCGCGCTCCGCCAAGAAGCGCAGCACCTCCTCGGGCCCCGGCTCCGCCTCGGAGCTCGGCGCCTCCGGGGTCTCCATCGGCGGTCACTCAGCCAGGCCCCATGGCGGGGACCGAGCCGAGGACGGACGAGGCCGGGCAGGCCGGGCGGGCTCCCACAGGACACCGCCTGACGGGGCCGGCCACGCCCACCGCGCCACGCCCCATCGCCACGCCCACTTCCGGCTCGCGCGCCCGGAGGAGTGAGGGGGCTGCGCGCCGGGCGCCCCTACCACCACCACCGCCACGGCGGTCCCGCCCACTTCCGGCCTCCGTTCCCGCCTGGACTCCTAACGCCCTGTTCCTCACGTTCCGACTCGCTCCGGGTCGCGGCCGCCCCGCTCCGGCCCGCCGCCGCCTGGCGTCCACCAACCAGGGCCGATGGGCGCTGCCGCGCCGGCCACGCCCTGCCCCGCGGAAGCCGCCCGCCCGTTAGCCGCCCCGCCCCGCGCCCCGCCCGTTAGAGCCGCCCTCCCGCCGCCCCGACCACCAGGCTGCCGTGCGCCCCCGCCGCGACCATGGCCTCCCCTCAGGTGGCGCGGCCCCAGGTGAGTCCCGCGTCCGGCGCCGGGCACCGAACCCCCTGCCCGAGCCCCGGCGTCCCAGGGGCGAGCCACGGGGGACGGCCCGCAGCGGCTCTGCCCGCCTCCCGGGGCTGTGGCCCGCGGCCGAGCGCGCAGCGGCGGGGAGGGTCCCGCGCCCCGAGCGGTTCTGGGCACTGGTGACCGTGCGCTCCCTGCGCCCTTCCTGCCTTCCCCGGCTTTGCCCTGCTCCCGGGGCGAGCCCTGCCCTTCCCCGGCTTTGCCCTGCTCCCGGGGCGAGCTCTGCCCTTCCCCGGCTTTGCCCTGCTCCCGGGGCGAGCTCTGCCCTTCCCCGGCTTTGCCCTGCTCCCGGAGCAGGCGCTGCCCTCCCCGGCTTTGCCCTGCTCCCGGGGCGAGCGCTGCCCTTCCCCGGCTTTGCCCTGCTCCCTGCGCCCTTCCTGCCTTCCCCAGCTTTGCCCTGCTCCCGGAGCGAGAAGATGCCTTCCCTGGCGTTTCCCTGCTCCCGGGCGAGCTCTGCGCCCCTTCCAGGTCTTCCCTGTTCCCGGGCGAGCCCTGCCCTCCCCAGGCTTTGCCCTGATCCTGGGGCAAGCCCTGCCCTCCCCAGGTCTTCCCTGCTCCCGGGGCGAGCCCTGCCTTTCCCAGCTTTTCCCGGCAGCTGGGCTGTCCTGGCTGCCTCCATTCCCACTCCTTGGCTTCCTGAGTACGTGCTCCAGGGTTCTCCTCACTTTTGCACTTACCCTCATCTGTTTATCTTGTTTGATAACCTCAAAGTATGGTCACATCGAGGTTTTTTTTTTTTAATTACCATTATTTAACTTTTTAAAAGATTTGTTTATTTGAAAGGCAGAGTTACCTTGAAATGGAGAGATCTTCCAGCTGCTGTTCCACAAAGGGCCTTTACAGCCGGAAGAAAGTCAAGGGTTTCACTTTGGGGTCCCATGGTCTTAGCAGGGAGCTGGATTAAATGTGGAGGGCAGGGACTCTAACCACAGCCCAGATGGGATGCCCGTGGTGGCTTACCACGCTATGCCACAGCATGGGCCCCCTGTACTTGATAAAGGGTGTGCAAGTTCATTATGCTTCCAGAGTCTTGACGTTCAGCGACCTGGCTGTGCCAGTGGAATGTGCCAGTGAATTCCTTTCTTTGAAAACATTCCTTTGAGCCCGTGGTCCCTGAAGCCCAGTGCCCTTCAGAAGCCCGGCTCGGGCAGTCTCCTGCACGGAGAAGAGTTCAGTATGTAGGAACAGAAGGCAGCAGAAGGCGATTTCCTTTTCAAGATTTAGTTAGTTCATGAGTTATACATAAAAAAAGCAGAGTTACAGAGAAAGAAGGAGGTCTCCCCCTCACTGGGTCACTCCCCGAGTGGCTAGTCCAGAGTCTGGAGCTGGTCTGTGTTAGTCATGGGTGCAGGGCATCTGTTCTCTGGGCCATCTCCCAGTGCAGTCCCGTAACAGGTGGCAGAAGTTGGGCAGCTGGGACAGTCATGGGTGCAGGGCCTGTGTCCCCTGGGCCGTCCTCTGCTGCATTCCCAGGACGTGAGCAGGGGTGCACGACACAGGTCGCGAAGCCCACACTCGTGGGATGCTAACGTGCCCACGCACGGTGCCATGAGAATTTTGATGTGGCGTTTTGGTAGAAGGCCTGTCCTTAACGTGCTTGAGGTCATCTTTCTCCGGAGACACTTGCAGATTTCACTGTAGTCGAGGGACAGTAGGTGAGGTCCTCTATGCTCCTGACTCAGTTTCCCTCAGTGTCTTTAACACTGTGTGGATCACAGCAGCTGTTGACACTGATGCGATGAAGATGAAGATGAAGGATGCTTCTGTCCGGCCAGGGGTACCACATGTGCAGCCACACGCAGCTCATTTCTCAGGTTCCCTCCATCACTTCCGGCAGTCAGCCACTTAGTTTTCATTTCTGCAATTCTGTCATTCCGAGGCAGTCACATGATCAATATGTAATCTTTTTGCCCCCTTTTTTCCCCCACTGGCGGGGGGGGTGGTGCGGAAGTTGTGTGAAGAGCCTGCAGTCTGTTGCAGGTGTCAGTAGCGGCAGAGTGGTATTCTGTGGTGTGGATGGACCACGCCCTGTCTGCAGGCTGGGGAGGTCGAGGTACTGTGAATGATGCTGCTGTGACACAGTGTAAGCCCAAGGCTTCCCCTCTAGGAATACAGGTGCTGCTGCAGCAAATGCTGCCTGAGCGTTTACCTTTAAAACAGCACCACACTGCTTCCCAGAGCAGCTATAGCAACCAGTTCCAGTTCCTCCACGTCCCTGCCAACATTTGATGTTGTCAGATTTTTAATTTGGTCCTTACTGGGGGGGGGGGCAGTCCTTCATTAGGATTTTAATGAGCATTTCCCTAAGGATAAATGTTGGAATTCCTTTCTTGTGCCTGTTTGCGTATGTATGTATGTGTGTCCTCTTTTGGGAAATGTTTCTTCATTTCTTGCCACTAGGCAATAAAATTCTGTTTTAGAAGAATACATTGTCTAAATGTTTCCTAATTAGAACTTGAATGTATCCTGGTTAGATGTGAGTCCTTTTCTGATACATGGCTTGTAAACGTTTTTTTCTCAATCTAGTTGGTCTTTTGGAAAAAGTTTTAAATTTTGAAGTTGATTTTATCAAGTTTCCCTTTTACAGGTTGTGCGTGTGTTATCCAGTTTAAGGCTTTGCCTAACTCTGCATCCCGGAGATGCCGTTTTCCCGACAGTTACATAGACTGTTCTACCCTTAATGCTACCATCCATTTGGAAATGGCTTTTCTGTGTCAGATTTCAGTCAAGGGCCCACATCATAGGTGGTCATTTAACCTGCTGCACTATGCGATTTTAACAGTTTTTAGATAGAAGAAGACTCACAAACGTACTGAGGGTTCGTGCCTTGCCCAGGGTGTCAGACTGGTTGCTGTTGATAACTGCCCGGTGCCTCCAGAGTTGCCCTTGCTGTGAATTGCATGCATATCAGGATCTAGGTGTTGGCTGGCTAATTATTGCTGGTGGTGATAGTGGATCTTAAAATAATGTTGAGAACAATGTGCCGTTTTCCTGTCCCTGTAATTCTCCTAAGATTGTCTTGAAGTCCTGTCCGAAGCTTTGCCATTGTTGTCCTCGTGTCTCCTTTCCTGTTTTCTTGGCAACGCTCCTCTTTCCTCTTCAGTTGTGTTTAAGTGACCGTGCTTTTGGTACCTTTTCTTGGTGGCTTTGCTTTGTGTCTTGAAGTTGAGATTCTTGGCTCTTTGCTTTCATGTCCTAGCGTTAATTAGCACCTTTGTGCCTCTGCGTGCTCTGCCTCTGCACTCATTACAGTGTGATGAAAGACCCGGTCCTGCTGGGGAGCCCCCGCCCCTTGGCTTGTCAGACTGTCCTTGGGCACTTAGTCATGCTGCCCCGCAAGCTTTTGTGTTGTTACTTAATGTTTTGTGTGAGTAATTTTAGTGAGCTCTGTTTTTTTTTTTCTTTTGAATTAGATGATTTGTCTTCAGGAAGAGCAATCTTCATCATTCTTTGTACCTTCTCGTGTCTTCGAGGGCAGGTGCTGTGGGCTTTATTGGGGAACTAGGATCACCTTGGATCATTTGATTCTTGCTGAATGTTAAACAGATAAATTATAAATGCTTTCAGGTTATTTCTGGACAGATCGGCATCATGAAATAGTCCCAGATGCTAAGTATTTGTCTCCGTTGAGTAATTGGTAGATTAATTTTGACATATGGGAGAGAAGAATGGCGGTCTTAAGTTTTTAGATTCAGCTAGGGATGTCCTCTCTCTAAGATGTACAAAGCTTGTCTTCCAAAAACAAAATACTTCCTTCTCCAGGATTTTTCAAGGACATCTTTAAATCTTATATTTTCTTCTGATTTTATCTGATAGGAAGTTTGATTTAGGGGATGCTATATTTTAAATTTTTATGTGACATCCTTTAGGATTTGTTGAGTACTAATTTGAAGATTATGGGGATAGGAATCTTGTGTTTCTCATAGTCTCAAACACATCCCTGAGGGATTTAAAACTCTCACTTAAAGCTAAAAAGGCAGACATCATTATTTAGTATCCTGGGATATAGCACTTAAAATTTGTTAGCATTATTTCTTTAAATAAATACGTACCTTTTCCTCCAAAGTTCCTTCTCTTTCGAATTTTATTTTTGGCAGTTATTCACACTTGTGTTTCTTAAAAACAAAAATCCAGTGTTTTGTCAGTGAGAATTTATCTGAAGCAGTTGAGATAAAAGTAATAGTTTATTACATCCTAGATGAATTTCAGGACATATCTAAAAGTGAATTTTTGGTCCCTAATCTTGAAATCCAGAGTTATATTTGGGCACCTGTTTTTCTGTTTGGATGGAATGACACGGCAGCAGGTGTGTGCTGTTTCTCTGGTGACTCACAGACCTTGCTGTCACAGACAGGTGAGGCTGCTGGTTTTACCTGGGCATGAGCATTTCCTTCTGTGCCAGCTTCCTGCTGATGCGCACTGGGTGAGGCAGCAGCTGACCACAGGGGATTTTGGTCCTTTCCCCCATCTGGGCGTTCTGGGCTCCCAGCTGTAGCCTGGCTCTCAGTGACATTGGAGGAGTGAACCAGTGGATGGGAGGTTTCTGTTTGTCTCTCTGTGCCTTTAAATAAAGTGAAAATAAATTTTGAAATATAAAGAAATAAGCAAAGTTTGCCCCCATTGGACAAGTCTTAAGTACTGGCTGTTTTGGAACAGTGCTGGTTGTCTTTCTGTGTGTTGAAGTTTTGATTTCTTGAGCGTAGTTACCATATTCTCAAGAACTAACTGTACTGGGAATTCGGGAATTCTGTATCTGTTTCATTATGCTTTTGCAGGCACTACAATATTTGTGATTATGGAATTTATAAATCAGTGGGTAAAGTTTCTGAAAGAGTACTCAGTGTTGAGCTTTGGAAAGGAAGGAAACACCAAACAGTGTGAAAGAGTCTTGAAATGAGGGTGGGGGAAAGTGAAGCTTTGGATTCCTACTGCTTCTGTCGGAGGGG